ATTACAGCTGAGGGTCACTTTTTAATCCTCCTTTTGTCTTGTTTTTTTTTTTGACAAAGCACTCATATTTTGTTTGTCCATCTCCCCTGCTGGAATGCAATCACCCTGAGGGGTGGATTTTTGACTGTTTTGTTCACTGCTCTATTCTCAGTGTGGGACTGTGCCCGCCACTTTGTTTATCATCAATACACACTTGCCCAATGATTAAGCAAATGCCTGGATTATGCTGATCAATTTCTCGATGTTGGATACATTTAACGTATTGACAACTGAAGGATTTTCCTGGAGTCAATGATACAATTCTCAGGAGCAATGGGATTAAGTTTGTTGCTTAAATTCTATTGGGAAACAATTCCTTAAGATCGTGGTGGAAACTAAATGAAAATTAATTATTATACAAAATTAATTATTTTTAAAAGGATTCTCCAGAAAATGAAAACGAGGTTTTTCAATAATTTTAAATTTATCATAAGCTATATGTCATCTAATTTGCCTAGAAGGTTCTGTGCTAATCTATAAAAATGTCTCATTAAATAGTTCTTTGTTGAATCTAACTTTTTTAGTTCTCATGAAAAGATATTAGGATTGTTTTTATTTTATTTTATTTTTTGTAGACATGGGGTCTGGCTATGTTGGCCAGGCTGGTCTCAAACTCCTGGTCTCAAGTGATCCTCCCACCTCAGCCTTCCAAAGTGCTGGGATCATAGGCATGAGCCACTGCACTTAGCTAAGACTGCTTTTAGATTATTCTAGCAAGATTTATAATTTTTTTCCACCAAAAATTCCTGCAAGGGCACAGGAGGATAAATTCCTAGCTCCAGTGACTGTAAGATACAGCAGGCTGCTAAAATATTTTTGTAAAGCTTATGTGTTTATGACTAAACATTTGCAAAAATTTTGTAGGTTACTCCATAATAGACCTCTGTTTTAATGTAAAAATAATATGCAAATCACTTACCATCTGGATACAAGAAAATATTTGCTACTGCTTCGCTAATATGTTATTTTGCAAAATACTCTTAATGATCATTAATTTCAGAAATTTCTCCTGAATTAAAGAGGCCTGATACGCCATAGAAGTTTCTTCAACTCAGTGTGATAACATTTTGAAAATCTGGACTCATAAAAAAATATGGACATAAATGGCAACAGAGAGATACTTTGAATGCCAAAAATAGGTAGCATTGGGCAAAATTCATAAGCTAGTATTGGTACACATTTCAGTAAGTATCAAACTTCTTTCTGACAAATGGGGTTACTGTGAAACATGGACACCTGAAAGGGCTTCGGACGCTCCAGCTGGCCATTTTCACGACTCCAGGAACGTGTGTGCTGTGAAGGAAGACAGCCCGTGTTCTCCTCTATTTTATCACCAGCACTGCAATGTTCATCAAATGAACATAAACCAGGAGTCTTAAACAAGTCACGGTTCTAACAGTCAATTCTCTGGGTCCATCTCTCAGATTTCATGTTCATTGCCAAGACCTTGAGGTGGGCTATAAAAATAATCACAGTTTTATCTTCAGTGTGGACTAAGAAATTAATCATTGACAACATATCTGTTAAATATGCCATTAACACAAACAACGAATTTATCCTACCCTGATTTTTTCCCTTTTGTTTTTTGTTTTTTTCCTTGATGAAGAGAAATAAAAATTTAGCCTTGATATTGAAAGCTCGGAGAAGCATATATCCTCAGCTTGGTGGAACAGGCTGTCAAAGTGGCTCTTTCATCTCACTTTTTCCTAAAAGGATGATTAATCAAAGCATAGATTTTTATTAATTACTGTCCCCATCATTTTGTTCATCTTACTGAATTCACTGAGAAGGACCAAGGGCAAACTCCTTTAGGCTATCTGTACTCAGGAAATAATGCAACTTTTGCTGAAGGATTCAGGGTTTGAGACAGCCTTGAAATGGGCTTCTGGTCCTGGAGTTTTGCCGTAGGTTTAGATTGGTAAGTGCAGAATTTTTCAAGTATATCCTTCAAGAACGTTAATATGCATCCTGTGACTGTGTGAGTAAGGGTATCTTTTTCAGCTTGGCTGCTTCTTTTTAACTCAGAGCTGATTTAGCCATATCTAAATTGCCCAGCCTCATTCTGCTAATACATAAGCTTCATCTTCTAAGGCAATTCTGCAAACTGACCTTGAGGGAAGCTTCAAGCAAACTTCATTTGCTTATTTGAGGGGGCTTTTTATTATTATCCCTATGCAAGATCTCTTTCTCTTTTGGTGCAAGAAATTCTGATGATTTCCTTTCAAAATTTGCATGATTGGTTTTTAAATGTCCATCAAGAACAATGCAGGGACAGCTTAGGGGTTGCGTGCAGGCAAGATACCAACATTTAGGCTCATTTGCATCTCCAAAATAATAAAAACCGGATTCCCAATAAGCATGTAAATGGAGGTTGAAATATTTAGGCTGCGCTGGCTGTGGTGTGGCAGGTGCCACCTGGGATCAGGAGTAGGCAGGTGCCACCTGGGATCGGAAGCAGACAGGTGTCTCTCGGGCTTGGCCATTATCTGTGCTGCTCAATGATGTTAGGTGGATCTGAATTTCTCTAATTGCGTTTTCTAAAATTCACTGTGTTCACACTTAGGATTCAAAATTCCTGTTTTTATTTATGTTGACATGTTCCCAGATGGACACATGATTGAAAATCAGCACTGGGAGACTGGCTGCCGAGGGTGACACGCCAGTGCCCAGGGAGGCAAAACCTGCTCCGTTGATGGTGACTTGGGGAGGACGCGGTTGCATTTGTCGTCTGTATTTCCTTGTGCTGCGCAAACTTAAATAAGCCCTTCACTAGGCGCTGGTCACAGAACGAGGATGGTCTAAGGAAAACGCACAGAAAAAGATCACAGGGGCCACTCGTCAAACAGGTGAAAATCCTCTCAGGTTTAACTCTGAAATCTAAGAACTGCACCGAGGCCTTGCGGGCCCCCAGCGCGGGAGCACTTGCTTTGAGTTCCAAACCGGTGATTCCAGGGCTTTTTGGGGCCCACTCCAGAGCAGTTTTTTCTGTTCAACCACAGTGAGTAAGTAGTCGTCACTGTTTTAAGGAAAAATAGGGGAAAGAACCACAGGAAACAGGAAAGCAAGAAAGAGGTTGAGACTGGGTCCAGACTCACTGCAGTGATTGGCCATTTCCACAACGCATAGAGTTGTACGGACTGTGACTTGGAGGCGTACCTTTAGGCCCTCGCCTGCTGGGAGACGGCAGCCAGTGGGTGTCTTGGCAACGACATGGGAGCAGTGGCCACCCCTCCCTTAGCTGTGGCCTCTTGCTGCGAGGCCTGTCTCGCATTGTTAGTTTCTGTGTGATTAGAAACACGGACAACTGCCCTAAGAAACCGCACCACACTGCCCAGAATGCAGAGTGGCACACTGAAGGAACCGGGGTTTACCGCCAATCGGATCTGAGTTCAAGTCCTTGCTCCCTACTGATGAGGGGTTTGGGCGAGGTGTTGAATTTCTGAGTCTCTTCCCATCCCACATTAAGACAACAGAGGGGCCGGGCACCGTGGCTCACGCCTATAATCCCAACACTTTGAGAGGCTGAGACGGGTGGATCACTTGAGCCCAGGAGTTCAAGACCAGCCTGGCCAACATGGTAAAACCCCATTTCTACCAAAAATACAAAATTTAGCCGGGTGTGATGGTGCATGCCTGTGGTCCCAGCTACTCAGGAACCTGAGGCACACGGATTGTTTGAACCTGGGAGGCGGAGGTTACAGTGAACTGAGATAGCACCACTGCGCTCCAGCCTGGGCGACAGAGAGAGACCCTGTCTCAATAAAAAAATAAAAAGACAGAGATAATAACCTTTGTCATTGGCTGGTGTGAAAATCGAGCAGCACAGTTAGGTGCTTTTCACAAATTATTTATTCCCAAAAAAGCTCCCACTCCTGCCTCCACGAATCCCTGTTTAACCCCGATCTTATCATTTGAGCAGGTTTAGAGTCCTGGGAAGAAATCCTAGGTCCAGTGACTCTCAGCTGCAGCAGGACACCACTCTTTTATCGTCCTGCTTTCTCTTTCCGGTGATTTGGTTTAAGACCTAACCCTGCCAAGCCCGTGGTGTCGCGCTCCTTGCTGGGGCACAGGTTTTCTCTGTTCCCCCCACATATCTGCCTGATTCTGCCACAGCGAGGCCCTTCAGAGAGCTCTCCCACTCCAGCAAGGGAGGCCGACTCAAAGACCTGGTGGTCTGCAAGCCCAGCACGAGGCTGGCAGCGATTGGGGAACCCTCCCCCGGCTTCCTGTCCTTCCCGTGAAAGGCAGGGAGTCGCCCCCGGTCAGTGTGTCCTTCACAAAACCCTCCCAAGACCTCTCCCCCGTCTTTCTAGGGCACCTCACAGCTGCCAGGGGACTCTTCATCCTTGCAACTGGCTGTGTGCCAGGCAGCCCGGGCAGGCCCCAGGTAACGTGGGGAAGTGGAGGCTCCGGGAGGCTCGGGTCTCTGAGGACATCTGGGCTGTGGGGAACCCTGGTGCGGAGCCGGCCCAGTGCTTGTGGAGTCACCTTGCAGCCTCTGAAGGGTGCGGAGGGCCCGGGGCCCTGGGTCCCGAAGACCCGCTCCGCCGTGTGGGCCTCGTGCCCCCTCTCCCTGCCCCTCCTCGCCCACCTGGCTCTTCCTCAGCATCGCCTCCTGTGGGCGGGCAGGTGGGGCCTCTCGGGTGAGCCCGGCACTAGCGATTCTGTTTTCAGGGCTCCTTTAGACACCGCTGTGAAAAGAGCACCACGACCCATTCTGAAAACAGCATCGTCACACAGTCGTGAATTCACGTCAAGACCTGGCCTGTTGCTATATGCAGAGAGACGCTGAAACCTCTCATCAGTTTTCCTTTTTAAAATCGTAGGACTTTGCCTATTAAATCATAAATTGCCACTAGCCAACATGGGTGCAGTCTGCCGGGGATGGCACCGCCGGGCACAGCTGCGTCTGGCCTGGTGGTGGGAAGGAGGCGGAGGGCCCCCGGGATGGGGGTTCTTACCGCTGAGGAGAGGCCGGTTGTGCCGGTAGGAGGCGGGCAGCTGGCCGACACCCTCCATGCGGTGGCTCATGACGCGTGCGAGGTGGCCCGTGTGGTGCAGGCTGCCCACCACGATGCTCTGCAGGTACACGGGCTCCACGAAGTGGGACAGGAGCGCGCCCTGAAGCCCCAGGACGTTCCACCTGTGGGGAGAGCCAGCGGTCAGCGGGGCCCCAGCCGGGAGCCCAGGGAGCCCGGTCCTCTCCGCCCCTCTGCAGCCTGGTCCTGAGGGCCTGTCACTTTCTCCATCGTGCAGACCTGGGGGGGCTCGCTGGGAGTGCCCCAGACTCAACCCAGCCATCACGGGGGCTCTGGGGACACTGTCGCCTGGGACTGGGCTCCGCGGGCCCCTGTGTGCTAACAAATGCTGCTCCCTTTTCTGAAAATGGGTCGTTAGAGTGGAAGCTGTTAGGTTCTCTCTGGGACTTACAATTAGATTTTTTAAAAAAGATACTCTGTCCCGAAAGTGAATCTGAATTTTTCTTTATATTAGCTGGGAAATATTATAAATGGAATTTGTTTCAGTTTAGGGAAAAATACTTTGTACTCCCTTTGTCCTTAGCAGTCAAAATGACCTAATGTGTTGAAATTACATTAATATATGACCTCGTTTTGGTCTGGGGATGATTTTGGTTTCAGAAGCCCGGATTGGAGATGAACAACAAGGCCATTTTGTTTGAAATAAATATAGCTCTGGGGTGAATGTTTTTGCTTCCTCAAGCAAAAATGCCGAGAGCATTGACAGGTTTTCCCCTTAAATTTGGGTGGCAAGAGTATGTGTTTTTCAAGGCAACATTCTGTGGTTTCCACTCTAAATAATGTGCTTAAAATCCTACCTCCTTCAGCAGCAAGTGTTATGCAGCTAATTTCTTACATCATTGTTCTTTTCATTAATTAACATTTCTCCACTGTTAGAGCAATTACTGCCGTCCCCGCATGCAGCGTCTCTTTTCATGATTAATAAGGAGTCATTACATTTCCCTTCCCGAAGCAGTCAATTAACACAGAATTCTTTCCATTAATTACTGAATCTACCTGGAGAGTAATCTTCTCTGAGAACCTGTGACACCAATTGCTTTAAAAAGTTCTCTTTAAATTTTATTCCAAAACACAAGCAATTTAGCCAGCGATATTAATTTGCCTCAGAAGCATCTCCGTGAATGAGAAACATCTTTTAATCTCATGCAAGAAAAGGCAGCCATCTGGCTGGTGGGGGTTTCGGGGAGCCGCTCTCCCTCTCTCCCTCCGCAAATGCAGGTCATTAAAGTAATGTGCTCATCTACATAAAACTCAAATGGAATATAAAAGGTAATATTTATATACAAACAATTTAGTCCTACAATTTAAACAGTCATTGGTTTTATGAAACATTTACTTCAGTCTATCAGATTTGCATAACTTCATTTAAAAAAATATTGTGGTCATTTCTACAAGGCACGGTGTTTCTCCCAGAAAGTAAGGGAAGGGCTGGCCGCTGGATGCGCGAGCTTCTACCACGGGGGCAAGGTCGGGCGCTCTGAAGGGTAGGACGAGACAGAGGCCACAGAGTGCCTGTCATTGAGGACCTTCATTCCACAGCGTGTCTGCCTGGATGTTGGATGGTCGGAGGCCACAGAGCACCTGTCACCGAGGACCTTCATTCCACAGCGTGTCTGCCTGGATCTCAGACGGTCGGAGGCCACAGAGCGCCTGTCACCAAGGACCTTCATTCCACAGCGTGTCTGCCTGGATCTCGTATGGTCGGAGGCCACAGAGCACCTGTCACCGAGGACCTTCATTCCACAGATTCCACAGCGTGTCTGCCTGGATCTCGGATGGTCGGAGGCCACAGAGCACCTGTCACCAAGGACCTTCATTCCACAGATTCCACAGCGTGTCTGCCTGGATCTCAGATGGTGGCTCTTGAGAGTCAATCTTTTCCTTGATGTTCACTGATAAGTCAGAGAATAGCAACAAATCCTGGGAAAGGAAATTTTTTGTAATTGAGCTTTTCTTTCAGGGAACAATGGCTGTGTTTTCTGTGTTTTTGTTTTTTTTTTTTTTTTTTTTTTTTTTTTAATAGAGACATGGTTTTGCCATATTGCCCAGGTTGGTCTTGAACTCCTGGGCTCAAGCGATCCTCCTACCTCGGCCTCCTTAAGTGCGGGGATTACAAGTGTCAGCCACTGAACCTGGTCTTTGTGTGTTTTTTTTAGACAGGGTCTCACTCTGTCACCCAGGCTGGAGTATGGTGGTGCAAGTGGTGCAGCCGTAGCTCGCTGCAGCCTAATTGTTTTGTATTTGTCATAGAGGCAGAGTCTTGCTGTGTTGCCCAGGCTGGTCTCGAACTCCTGGGCTCAAGCCATCCACCGACCTTGGCCTCCTACAGTGCTGGGATCACAGGCGTGAGTCACCGCGTCCGGCCAATGCCGACGTTTTTGAGGAGCAGTTGAGGGATTTGGCTTGTTCCTTTGACTCTGAGACCAGAGGACAGACCAAAAGCTGGGAGGAGATTCAGCAGTGTGGCCCTCCTCGGGGTGTGAGATGCCCCTCCTCAGATTTGGAGATGCCGGAAAACAAAGCCCAGGAAACACCGGTGTGGGGCCCAGGGCTCCAGGTTCTGTGTCCCAGTGAGCCTGTTAATTCTCAGTCTTAAAATGTCTTATAAATTAAAGCAGGGAAAAGTACATTTCCACCATCTGTGACAAAGCACCTTCTTGAAATAAGCCACCAGTTAAAGAGTAAAATTGGGATTCCTGGAAGAGACACCTCAGTGTTAGACGCCATCAGAGCAGGGGCTTTGAACAAAACTTCCGGAACGTATGTGCGTGGCTGTGATGCTGCAGGACCGTCGGAAGACAAAGAACTTCTCTATCTGGTTCCCACCTAATAGCCTTTACAATAAAGAGGAAATCAACCTTCTCCTTGCCTGGCTACCAGAGTTTAAACTTACTCAGCTAACGTGATCAATAAAACCAAATGTCTTTCTGAATATCAGCTGGAGAATTTTCAGCACTCAGGATTGAATGGAAAAACGCCTCTCCTTTTGTTCAAATAGCCGATATTACTGCAATGTTGACAGAGGGAAAAAACCCATGTCTAGTTTTCAATATAGATAATCCCTAAATAAATATATTTTTGTCCATTTGTCAATCACTGAAATACCACAGATCCGCGGGGAAGGTCTTGGAAAAAGGCTGCCGTTCTTTAGCCGGGAGATGCAACCCGTTCTCTCAGTCCAGGCAGCGGCCTCCAGGCCACAGTGGAAGGAGGGACAGGTCTCTGGTGTGCTGACGACACCTCAGGCTGTCCCTGCAGGCGTGCCGGCGTCAGGCAGGGAACAGGACCGCCCTTGCCTGTTTTGGACGCTTTGGTTTTCCTCTGTGATGTGACCTGTGAGGAGTTACATGAAGCCTGCGGCAAAGTCCTCAGCTACCACCCGGCCTGGCGTCCGCAGCTCTGCAGGGCCGGCTCTCAGGCCTGCTGTGGGATCGTCTGGGAGCTTTGAGGATCTCCAGAGACCTGGCTGCCCCAGGGATTTTGGTGTGACTGGGGAGTCAGTGCGGCCATCAGCTTTCGCGGTGCCGCCCACGTGATTCTCATGGGAGCCGGGGTTGAGGACGTCGGCAGCGAAGCGGCACATTTGGCACCAACACAGTCAGGTACCAGTTAGGTCATGATGCTGGTCCGCGGGGCCTCCCTTGACCCCTCTCTTGCTGCTCTGAGCGACTGTCTTCTCAGTGGTCCTCAAAGTGGGGTGCCTGGGCCAGCCATGGAGCATCACCTGAGAACTTGATAGAAATGCAGGTTCCTGGCTGCACCTCGGGGTTGCCGGCTCGTGAACTCTGGGGTGGGGCCTGGCGCTCCAAGGAGCCTCCAGGTGGCTCTGAGGCTGCTCAGTTCGAGGCCCACCATCTCCGGGCTGGTTCTAGGGTCACAGTCGCCGTATCTACCTCTCACGGCATTGGAAGAGCACAGGAGACAGACGAATCTCTGGCCGGTCTGGGGGTGACATTTCCCTTCCTCCACACCCCACCCCCAAACCCTGTCTCACACTTTCTTCCTCCCACCTTTTGCCAAGACAGGTAATAAGTCCCAGACGTCTCTGCATACAGGCCCCACCCCATTTCCAGGCCACTCAGACCTATTCTGGGGCCTTTCTAGGTGAAAGAGAAGCCAACAGCCTTTTGACTCAACAGCAGGCCTGCTAGGAATTCACCCAGCATCTGCATTCTCGGTGGAATGCCTGATGTACGCATAGGGCCGGTCTTGAAGGGGCTGTTTGTAATTGCAAAGCAGACAAAGCGCGGCAAAACAGAAACGGGAAATCACCTAAGTGCGTCTTAACAGGGAACTGGTTACATAAATGAGGGTGCATTCTTGACACCCTGGCCTGCCTGACCATGGGTCCCACAGCTCCTGTGCCTCTGCGGCAGGCCTGGCTCGCTGGGACGCCCTCAGGGCCAGGAGGCCACAGCTGCCCCATCTGCACCTTCTGCCGCATGGACCCTCTGCCCCTCACCGGCTCCTGCTGGCCTCGACCATCACATCACGTAGGACGCTTGTGACTGCTCTAAAAACACCGGGCTCTCACGCTGTCCCCTCCAAGGTCCCCTCCTTGTGTCCAGCATCATTATGGCTGCCTCCTGCCGGGCTGCCCCTGCCCTGGCCCTCAGGTGCCTGTGGTTTAAATCTCCTGGCACTGCTGAGCACCGGTCTGGTGTGCAGATGGAGGTGCCTGAAGCGTAGGAGGAAGCTGATGGACAGTTTGTCCCTTCACCAGCAGCTGTGTTGTGTTCAACGGTGGAGACAACCCATCTGGGCTCTCAGCGACCCCACCCCACAGGCTCTTCCTCAGCGTGACCGGGACACCCACAGGGTGGGCCTGCACCTGCCCTGAGCCTCTGCAGCTTGGGACGTCTCAGCCCGAGGCGGTGGGATGATGCCACCTGGGACTGGGTCCTCTGACCTCCTGGGTGCTCCCTCAGGTCCCGGTTGCCATTCTGCAGAGACTCCTGAGTCCGTGAAGCAGATCCAGGGCCTCCACCCACCCCAGCTGATCTGCCAGGAAAGGGTCCCTGCTGCCTGGGGGCTGCCTCGGCTGGTGCCACGTGGGGATGAAGTGAGCCAGCCCCCGAGCTCAAAGGGAGGGCTTGGGAGTACA